GTGCTGTCAGCCGTGGGTTCTCATGGGGCTTGTAGGTGCTACGCTTGTGCCGTTGTGGGTCTTGTATCCCGTGGGTGATCTTATTGTGGGTCTTGTAGAATGAAGAGGAAGACGGGGGGGTGGGGTAGAACATACCCTGAGGACAGAGGATCAGGAGGACGGTGAAGATGACGATGTGGACGATGAGGATGAGAGGGGGAGGAGGAGGAGCTGGGGTGACAGGAGGACAGGATTCCCGGGAAATGAGTGTTCGCTTGGGCTTGATTTCGACATGTTGCTCCCGCTGAAGCGCTGACATCATTTTCGGGCTGCCGCTCGTTCGGAGTCGTGCTCCCGCTGCAACGCTGGCCTTATTTCCGCGTTTCCGCTCGTTCCGAGTCGTGCTCCCGCTGCAGCGCTGGCCTCATTTCCGCGCTTCCGCTCGTCCCGAACCTTGCTCCCGCTGAAGCGCTGGCGTCATTACTTCCAGCGCCATGCCACGGCATGGTTTTCGGTCCTTCCTAATCGGCCCCAAAATCTAGAAAATGGCCTCCCGAAAAAACCATCGGAAGTGATTATGTACATATCCTATGTCGATTCCCCCCAGTTTGGGGCGTCGCTACGCCATGCTATATCATGTTACGCGTTGATCTTCAATACCATGCCATGCCATGTAATGCTATGCCATGCTACGACATCCGATTGTCCGAATAGGGAGGAGATCTACGCCATGGTAAGCGATGGGAGGGAGGGGTAGGCCGGGTAGGACGTCAGATATGACGCGAGCGCACCTAGCTTGTCCCGCTCCCCCTCCCTCCTCCCTCTTTCTTCTCCTCCCTCCCCCTCCTCCTCCTCCTCGCCCTTCTCCTGGTCCTCCTCCTGGGGATGGGAGGCGAACGAGGAGGAGGAGGAGGAGGAGGAGGAGGAGGGGAGGAGGGACTCCCTTCCCTTGTCCGCCCTTCCCTTTCCTTCTCCTCCTCCTCCTCCTCCTCCTCTGACCCTTCTCCCCCTCCCCTCCCCCTCCTCCCCCTCCTCCTCCTCCTCCTCCTCCTCTCTCCTCCTCCTCTGACCCTCCTCCTCCTCCTCTCCTCCTCCTCCTCCTCCTCCTCCTCCTCCTCCTCCTCCTCCTCCTCTGACCCCTCCTCCCCCCCCTCCCCCGCTCCACCTCGCCGACCCCTCCGTGCGCGCGGCCTGCGGCGGCTCGCAGCCCCGGCGGGGACGGCGGCCGCGGACGGCCGGTATAGTTGGCTTGAGGGCAAACACGCGCGCCCTCTGCCCCGCGCGGCCGGCTGCTGTCGGCTACACGGAAGGTCGGGCCTGTCCCCTCCACAGGGGGAAGATCCAAACATGGTCGAGAAATAAGCTGGGGACTATGATTCGAGCATTTCTGAGGCAGCTGTGGAGCATTTACTTAACAGCGAAGACTGATAGTTTTCTAGTAGGGTCAAAAGAGAGCATCTTGACGCCCCAGGGGGGTCTGGGCGCGATCCGGGGGATGCCGGGGATTTTGTTTAGCCAACAGTAGCGCACTTCGTGGTCTTCAAGTTCCCAGAACTCCATTCCTGGGCATGATTTTGAATGCCCGGAGCCAACTGTAGGCCACTTCGTGTTCTTCGAGTTCCCAGAACTCCATTCCTGGGCATGATTGTTAATGCCCGGAGCCAACTGTAGGCCACTTCGTGGTCTTCGAGTTCCCAGAACTCCATTGCTGGGCATGATTTTGAAAGCCCGGAGCCAACTGTAGGCCACTTCGTGTTCTTCGAGTTCCCAGAACTCCATTCCCGGGCCACATTTTGAATGCTGAGGCAGGCTGATGCTGAGGCTGAGGCAGGCTGAGGCTGAGGCAGGCTGAGGCTGAGGCCGAGGCTGAAGGCTGACTGAGGCTTGAAGCAGGCTGAGGCTGAGGCTGAGGCTGAGGCTGAGGCTGAGGCAGGCTGAGGCAGGCTGAGGCTGAGGCCTGAGGACTGAAGGCAGAGGCTGAGGCTGAGGCTGAAGGCAGGCTGATGCTGAGGCAGGCTGAGGCTGAGGCTGAGGCTGATGCAGGCTGAGGCTGAGGCAGGCTGAGGCTGAGGCCGAGGCTGAAGGCAGACTGAGGCTGAGGCTGAAGCAGGCTGAGGCTGAGGCTGAGGCAGGCTGAGGCTGAGGCTGAGGCAGGCTGATGCTGAGGCAGGCTGAGGCTGAGGCTGAGGCTGATGCAGGCTGAGGCTGAGGCAGGCTGAGGCTGAGGCCGAGGCTGAAGGCAGACTGAGGCTGAGGCTGAAGCAGGCTGAGGCTGAGGCTGAGGCAGGCTGAGGCTGAGGCTGAGGCAGGCTGATGCTGCAGGCTGAGGCTGAGGCTGAGGCTGAGGCTGATGCAGGCTGAGGCTGAGGCAGGCTGAGGCTGAGGCGCAGGCTGAGGCTGAAGGCAGACTGAGGCAGGCTGAATCTGAGGCTGAGGCTGAGGCTGAGGCAGGCTGATGCTGAGGCAGGCTGAGGCTGAGGCTGAGGCTGATGCAGGCTGAGGCTGAGGCAGGCTGAGGCTGAGGCCGAGGCTGAAGGCAGACTGAGGCTGAGGCTGAAGCAGGCTGAGGCTGAGGCTGAGGCAGGCTGAGGCTGAGGCAGGCTGAGGCTGAGGCTGAGGCAGGCTGAGGCTGAGGCTGTGACTGCGACTGCCGTTGCCACTGCGACTGTCATCGCGAATGCGACTACGACTGCAAGAACAGCAGAATTCTACAACTGGATTCTCATCTGAATCTTCAGGGGAATGCTTCCAGATATGCTCCTGCACATCGCTGTCAGGTTGCTTCGCCGGGAGAATTCTTTCGTCCAGAATCCCCCTCGGTATGGTGGACGGGCCCGACCTGAGGCTGCACGTAGGCGTGGCCTTTCGCAGGAGCGACTCCCGGTGCGGGCCTCCCGGGGGTCCCCGCGTGAGCGAACGCGATGCGATGGCGGCGTCCAGCGCGCTCGGGGGTTGGCCTCTCCGCGGCCCCCGAGGCTTGCGCGCCAGAGGTCGCTCCTGCCTGGGGGGGTCACCTGCGTGTGGCCCCTGCTGGAGTCTTGGAGATTTGGGCACCAGCACCAGGACAGGGGGGTGTCTCCACCAGGGGGGGGGGTGGCCCTGGATCTTGCTATCGGTGGTAACTTCTCGGCCACCCAGGAATTCGGAATCCTGCATCTCGTCACCATTCTCATCGAGGAAGGGATCAGCTTCCTTCGGTGGAGGCAGCCGCCGATCTTGGTTTTGGCGCCAACCTGTGACCTCGGAGCCTCCCGGGCTGGGGACTCATCCCTGACTCCGGATCCGCCCTACTTTGGGGGAAATTCGTTGGTAGGGCTTGGAATTTCCGACTTACTTTTCAAGCCCCGCTGATGCCAATTTCCGCCTTGCTTTTCTGTTGCTGTTTCCGCCCTACTTCAATGGATTTCCGCCCCACTTTATGCTGGGTGCAGAAATCTCCGCCCTACTTGTTCGGCCTCTTATAGCTGGATTTCCGACGCAATTTTAAGTTGGAAAAAAAGCCAAGATAGGGCGGATCCGGAGTCAGGGATGCCCAGGCCCCAGATCCCCGGGGATGTGTTTTTTTTCAGCTGCGGTCTCCCTTCGATGGCGGCCGCCGGGGGCCCGCTTGTTGTGCCCCGTGCCCTGGGGCCGCTCGATCGCCAGGAAAATATAGGAAAATATGGGAACTGGGCGGGAAGACAAAAACCCAGAAAATATAGGAAAATATAGGGAAATTGTTTTATTTGTGTGTATTTGTTTGTGTGTCCTTGGGCCCCTTGAGACTCCTGCCCAGGCCCCAGATCTCCGGGGACGTGTTTCTTTTCGGCTGCGGTTTCCCTTCGATGGCGGCCCTCGGGGGCCGGTGGTCGTGCCCCGGGGCCCTCAAGCATGGGCCAGGGGGGGAAAGCTGCCCCCAGAGGAGGAGCAGGAGGAAGAGGAGGAGGAGGAGGAGGAGGAGGAGGAGGAGGAGGAGGAGGAGGGAAGCGGCCAGGACCTGCCGGGGCCGCGGATTGAAAATGCCAGACTGGCGGATGTCAGGGACCTCCTCGCGTCATGAAGGTATCACAGCGGCAGGGTTCCTACCACGTTCGGGCTCAAAGGGCCCTCGCCAGTCCCCAGAACGTCCAGCAGCGACCCCAGAGTGAAGAGCCGGTGCTGGGAAGGTCCAGACCACCGGGGCCCACGTCGTCGGGGTTCTGGGTGGGGTGCGAGAGGATCGAGGATCGAGGCGTTTTTGCTTCCAGCGCTCCCGTGTTGGCAGGTCCTCGTTTTCTCTCCGCAGCGCCGCGCGTTTCTGCTTCCAGCGCTCCCGTGTTGGCAGGTCGTCGTTTTCTCGCAGCGCCGCGCGTCACCTCCTTCCTCGTTATCCCCCCCTCCTCCCCCTCCCCCTCCTCCTTTTCCGATTCCTCTTCCTCTTCCTATTCCTCCTCCTCATCTTCCTCTTCCTCTTCCTCCTCTTCCTCCTCTACCTCCTCCCCCTCCTCCCCCTCCTCCCCCTCCCCTTCCTCCCCCTCATCCCCCCCTCTTCATCTTCCTCCCTCCCTCTCCTCCTCTTCCCCTTCCTGCCCCCACACCCCGAGCACCGCCAACGTCAAGCACTTCTTCCAGTGAGGTTCTGCCTGCGGCAGGCTCAGATTGAACGCCGTCAGTGGCACAGAATTGGCCGACATCGAGTTGTCTTCGCTTTCGAAAGGCCAGGATAGATCAAGCTCCTCCTCCTCCTCCTCCTCCTCCTCCTCCTCCTCCTCCTCATCATCATCATCCCACGATCCAGCACGTTTCATCACATTGCCTCGGTTGTAGTCCAGCACAGGAGCACACCTTGGATGGCAGGTGTTCGTTCTGTTCTATTATGTTCCTCCTCCCTCGACCTCCGCGAATATGCCGTACGATTGGTCCGCGTCGTGTCCACCGGCGGCGACCTTGCCGCTGGCGTTCAACGTTGGACGCCGCTGGCGACCCAGAATCGGTCGACGTTCGATCTGACGCTTCAGAGACGGCCGATTGTCCAAGGTTGAACGATTTCCGCGGCGTCAGGAACCGACGCTGGGGTCGACACGAGACGAACTTGTAGTACGCTGCTGGTCTTCTCCTGGCCCACCTGCCCCCCGCGGCCCCCCGTGGCTCCAGCGCGTCGCGCCCTCCCCCCCGCAAAAGCGGGCGGTCGGCAGGACGTTCCCGTCGCCGGCCGGGCAGCGCCGAGGGGGTCACCGCCAGGGCGGACGCGCCCCAGCTAGGAGGCAGCGTGCGAACCCTACCCCTGCCCCCCACGATTTCTGAGGGGGAGGGTGGGGTTCACTTCGCTCGGGAGCTCCCGAACGAAGTGAACCCCACCTTCCCTTTCAGAAATCGTGGTGGGCAGGGGTAGGGTTCGCATGTGTCCCCCTACCAGCACCAGACGGTTTCGGACCGTTTGGAGGCTGACCAGTTCATCCTCAACGATTGCTTCCGCGACGAGCTCATTCGGAAGAGTATTCTGCCCGACGGGCTTGTCCATATGAAGTTGTCCAGATACGTTCGTCCAGATGGATTCGTTTGCGGGTGATCTCGTCTCTGGATGAAATCGTATTCGGACGAGCTCGTCCAGAAGAAGTCGTCCGGACGCAATCGTCTGGATAAACTCGCCTCGGAGGAACTCGTGTGGATGAAACGGCTTCGGATGAGACGGTAGGCTTTCGTTTCCCCACGTTCTCGTAAGCTTTTCTACCAAGTGTTCGAGGCCCGGGATCATTCCCCAGGCTTCCGTTCCCCAGGCTTTTGTTTTTCTACCATTGTTTTCGTTTCCCCAGGCTTTCGTTTTCTGCCAAGTGTTCGAGGCCCGGGATCGCTCCCAGCAGCTGCGCCTCGTCGAGCGCGCTCCGGGACTGCCCGGCTCGCACCCGAACGGCCGGCGCAGGCCCGAGCTGTGCCCCGGTAAGCCAGACGCCGAGGCCTCTGTCGCCAGTTCCTCCTGCCCCCACGTCCTCTTCCTCCTCCTCCTCCTCCTCCTCCTCCTCCTCCTCCTCCTCCTCCTCCTCCTCCTCCTCCTGCCCCCACGTCCTCGCGTCGTGCAAAAACGAGCGACGGCGCGTTTTCCGCAGCGTTCGGCCCCGGGGCCGTCAGGAAGCGACTTGGGGTGAAGAGGCGGTCCCGAGGGAGAGTCCAGACATCATCTGAGGAGCCACGCTGAAACAAATCACGACATCGCACGTCTGGGTGAGGATCCAGGATTGAGCTGCTTGAGCGACTTCGGCCGACGTTTGACTGTCTGGGGGCGTTGAGGTGGACGTGAGGGTTCTTCCTCGATGAGGAGGCGATCCCCCATGTGGTGATCCCTTTGGCATTACCTGGGCCAGTTGGACGAGTGTTCACGTGGCACCTCTGGCAATGGCTGACCCCGCCGACTCGGACGGCGGACTCGGCCAGGAGTCACAGAACAAGCAGATGTGATTCGCCGATTTCCCACCACCAATAGGCAGGAGAGGAGGAGGAGGAGGAGGAGGAGGAGGAGGAGCAGGAGCAGGAGCAGGAGCAGGAGCAGGTGGAGGAGGAGGAGAACCTCCCCATCCTCTCTTCCCCCTCGTCCTGCCTGTGGCAGCGGTGGTGGAACATTGGCTTCCCAAGCTGCACAGCGGCTTACCCTCGTGAAAGTCCGTGCGGCTCTCTCGGGTAGGCGCTGGACCCCTCCCCCTTTGTCCCTCGTCGCCTATGGCAGCGGTGGTGGAACATTGGCTTCCCAAGCTGCACAGCGGCTTAAAGTCCGTGCGGCTCTCTCGGGTAGGCGCTGGACCCCTCCCCCTTTGCCCCTCGTCGCCTATGGCAGCGGTGGTGGAACGTGGGCTTCTCACACTGCACAGCAGCTCGCCTTCGGAGAAGTCCGTGCGGCTGTCGCGGGTCGGCGCCGGGCTCCCCCCCCTGCCCACGCCCCCGGCGGCGCCTTTTGGCGCCGCCCTCCGCGCGCGGAGCGCGCCGGGGTGAGGGCGTGGGAGGAGGAGGAGGAGGAGGAGGAGGAGGAGGAGGAGGAGAAGGAGGAGGAGGAGGAGGAGGAGGAGGAATACGAGGAACAGGAGGGACAGGAGGAACAGGAGGAATAGGAGAGGAGGAGGAGGAGGAGGAGGAGGAGGAGGAGGAGGAGGAGGGACACCCGGCGCCGACCCGAGGAATCAACGCGGACTGCCAAACAAACATGTTTGGTTGTGCAGTGCTGCTTTAAATCGGGCCTGTCCCTCTGCAGGAGGACTATACAAGAATAGTCCAATGATAGTCTGGGGACGTTTTTGGGAGCATTTTTTTGCTATTTGGGAGTATTTTTGGAGTATGTTTTATTTTTCGTCCAAAATCCCCCTGTAGGGGGACAGGCCCGACCTAAGTGTTGCTTTCCGCCGCGGGCGGGGGGGGGCCCTCGACGGGGGGATGTGCCCTCGTGGAAGGGACGGATCGGGTGGGGACGGGCAGGGCTTCGGGGCCGCGCGGGCCCTCCTTCTTCCGTCTGGTCTTAAATCGGGCCCGTCTTTCTACAGGGGGAAAATTTAAAATTATCCCAGTGCGACCCTACCTAGGAGTTGGAGCATCTAGGAAAGCAACATTACGACGGATGCAGCAATAGTGGATGCTGTGCTGCGCTATGCTATGCTCTGCTGTGCTCTGCTATGCTATGCTATGCTATGCTATGCTATGCTATGCTATGCTATGTGTTTGCTTTGCCTTCGCTTTTGCCTTCACTTTTTCCTTTGCTGTTGCTTTTGCTTGGCACCCAGGGAGCGCAACTGGGGGAACCGCGTGTTTGCTTTTGCCTTTGCTGTTGCTGTTGCTTAGCTCCCAGGGGACCGGGGGAACCGCCCGGGGCGATTTCCACTGCCTGGCCCCTTTAAGCCAACAGAGTAAGAACCCTTCTAGGCAGTGCCTAGGTAGGGAAATGGTTAAAAACATAGCCTGGGGACGTTTTTTGTTACTATGTTTTAGCATGTGGGGGGGTGTTTGTTTTCGTATTTCTAGTTTTTCGCCCAAAATCCCCCTGTAGGGGACAGGTCCGACCTAAGTCTGGTCGCCGCGCGGCCGGACATGTCTGATTGTGCAGTTTTCGCTTTCCTTGGTCAGGAGGAGAAATCCGAGCTGCTCCAAGGAGTGGAGAACGACTATCTGGGCGTGGACCAGGATCGGGAGCGAACAGTCACCGCCACTCCACCCGCCCCTCGTCCAGCCCACTCCCCCGCTCCCCCGCACGTGCGAGCGCCAGCGGAAGTGCTGGCCAGTTTCCAGAGTCGAAGACGCCAACGAGGAATCACCGCTGGGAGCTCCGATGTGGCCGAACGTTGTGGCCCAAGCTTGGGCAAACTATCGGACGATGTGTTCTCCAGGCCGTAGTGGAAACCTTTCGGATACATTTGGCGGAGGATGAGGGAGAGCATCAGAAGAGGGAGAAAGCGGAGGAGGAGGAGGAGGAGGAGGAGGAGGAGGACCAGTGTGAACCCAAGCGCATCACAAAGGTTGAAACAAGCTCTCCCTCAAGGCTCCCTCTTCATTGGTCCCTACAAGAATTGATCTTAGTTGCTGGAAGTGGCCCATCAGAAGACAAGGAGGACGAGGAGAAGGAGGAGGAGGAGGAGGAAACGCAACGCATCTTGGGAGCTTCTTGGGGCACTCCCTCCTGGGAGCTTCCTGGGGACCTCTTGGAGCCCTCTTGGAGGCCTCCTTGGGCCTCTTGGGGGCCTTCGGGGCCTTCTCAGCGTTCCTGTCCCGTCTGTCGCCATCGGAAGCCGTCTTCGGGGCCTCTTGGGCCGTCATGGGGCTATCTGGGAGGCCTCTTGGGCGCTCTGGGGGCGATCTTGAAGGCCTCTTGGGCCGTCTCAGGCCGCTTGGAAGCCTCTTGGGGCCTCTTGGACCGTTTGAGTCGTCTTGGGCCATCTTGAGGCCATCTTGGGCCATGCTGGGTGCATCTTGGGCAGTCTTGGGTGCATCTAGGGGCCATCTTGGGTGGGCTCTCTTGGGGCCATTTAGGTCGTGCTGGAGGCGCTGTGGGACCGTCTTGGGCCATCTAGACCGTCTTGGGAAGACTATTTGTGGACGTTAAGGTCTTTACGCGGCTCTCCAGGTGGCCGGCGGGCTTGGCCGAGACCCCACTGGAAATTTTTAGAGAACCAGCGCGACTCAAATACTTAGCACACCAAGCACCCTTGTGGCAAGACCACGCACGGGGCGGCGGATCTAAGACGCCTAATTATTGCGAGTCACCGCCGCCCCCTGCCTTTTCGGAAGCGCCTAGGTGGCCGAACGTTAAGGCCAGACCCGCCAAGCTATCGGACCATGTGTTCCCCGAATCGGTTTGGAGAGCCTTCGGGGAACACGTGGGCATCTTGAAAGTCATCTTGGCCGTCTGGAGGCCATTTTGACCCTTACGGGCCTTCTTGGAGGACGTCTTGGAGGGCTCTTGGGCCGTCTTGGAGGCCATCTTGAGCGTCGTGATCTTGGGCCGTCTTGGGGGCCTCTGGGGGCCGTCGTGGGCCTCTTGGGCAATCTTTGGGTGCACTACGGCCGTCTCGGGCCGTCGGAAGGCAGAAAAAAAGGCAAATGCCACAATCCTTCAGAAACTCATGGGGAATCAATGATTACCTAACAGCGAAGACTGATAGGTTTCTAGTGGGATCAAAAGAGAGCAGCAGATCACTCCACAGGGGGGTCCGGGCAGGTGTTGGGAGTTGCCGGGCGGCAGTGAGCCGGGCTCGTTTTTCACCAACAGTCACACACTTCGTGCTCTTCGCCTTCCCAGAACTCCATTCCCAGGCCACATTCTGGGGGGCCGGATGCAACTGTAGGCCACTTCGTGCTCTTCGACATCCCAGAACGCCATTCCCGGGCCACATTCTGGATGCCCGGAGCCAACTGTAGGCCACTTCGTGCTCTTCATTTCCCAGAACTCCATTCCCGGGCCACATTTTGGATGCCCGGAGCCAACTGTAGGCCACTTCGTGCTCTTCCATTTCCCAGAACTCCATTCCCGGGCCACATTTTGGATGCCCGGAGCCAACTGTAGGCCACTTCGTGCTCTTCGAGTTCCCAGAACTCCATTCCCGGGCCACATTTTGAATGCCCGTAGCCAACTGTAGGCAACTTCGTGCTCTTCGACTTCCCAAAACTCCCATTCCTGGGCTACATTTTCAGCAGGGGCAAGAGCACGACGAGGAGGAGGACGAGCAAGACCAGGAGGACGAGGACGAGCAGGAGCAGGACGAGGAGCAGGAGGAGCAGGAGAAGAAGGACGAGCAGGAGGAGGAGGAGGACGAGCAGGAGGAGGAGGACGACCAGGAGGAGGAGGACGACCAGGGAGGAGGAGGAGGAGGAGGAGGAGGGGAGGGGGAGGAGTACCAGGAGGAGGAGGAGGAGAGAGGAGGAGGAGGAGGTAGGAGGAGGAGGAGGAGGATGGAAGAGGAGGAGGAGGAGGAGGAGGACGAGGACGAGGAGGAGGAGGAGGAGAGGAGGAGGAGGGGAGGGGGAGGCTACCATGGGATGAGGCAGGAGGAGGAGAAGGAGAGGAGGAGGAGGAGAGGACGAGGAGGAGGGGAGGAGGAGGACGAGAGGAGAGGGGGGGGGAGATCACCAGAGGAGGAGAACGAGACTCACCAGGAGGAGGAGGAGGAGGAGGAGGAGGAGGCATTTTTGAATGCCCGTAGCCAACTGTAGGCAACTTCGTGCTCTTCGACTTCCCAGAACTCCCATTCCTGGGCCACATTTTCAGCAGGGGCAAGAGCACGACGAGGAGGAGGACGAGCAAGACCAGGAGGACGAGGACGAGCAGGAGCAGGACGAGGAGCAGGAGGAGCAGGAGAAGAAGGACGAGCAGGAGAAGGAGGAGGACGAGCAGGAGGAGGAGGACGACCAGGAGGAGGAGGACGACCAGGAG